CGACAGCGATTCGGATTCGGCTGTCATCCCCTTAGATAGTGGACGAACTCATGCTCGGCTCAACGGTGATGGCGATGATGTGATCGTTCTGAGCGATAATAATCCATCAGACGAAGAACCATCATTTCCTCGTGGGGAAAGCAACTATGTTCGAGTGAGTGGTGGTTCTGTTGATATGGATATTTCCTGAGTATCTCAAGAAATTAAAAAGTGTTTGGTGTGTTCGCACAGCATGGCGCTATACGTTCCCAGAACCACAATTGCATTGCTATGGGGAAATGCTTGTAATTATGATGAAATTTCTCCATTATCTAGCACGTATGGGTATAAACTGTTTTGTCATAGTGAGTTTTTCTGGATCCCTGGGATTTATTGGAGGATTGGAGGCTCCTGTGAAAATGCCTTTCAAAAAATGGGGAAGAACTTTGCTGCGCCTGTTACAAACTTTTATGCGGCAGTATTGTTCGTTTCTTCGAGTCTGCGTCTTTCGTTGCGGCATCTAGCAGTAGTCAAAGCGGTTCGATTATCAAAATCCAAAATTGGTATCCTCGGAAGATTCCTTAAGGTCTTTGTAAATCGACGTAAGGCCGCCCTGAGCGATCTTATCAAAGATAAGGGGGCGGGGTGGGTGAAAGGTCGCCTTCAGACTGGGGAAATTTTAACTTGAGGACTTCTCCCGTTTCAGCTATGCTATATACCCGTGCCACTCTTCTCGCCTCATTTGTGAGTAGATAGGCTGTGATAGGGATCCTTAACATTGAGGAAATTCTGTATTCCAGACACTTGTCCCCAACGCGAGGATGTGCTGTGGCGCACAAGAACCGTAAATAGCGAAAAGCTTCTAAAGACTTCTGCAAAAACGTTTAGCTGTCCAACCATCAGATCTTATTTTACAGGACGCTTCGGTATAACCTCTAACCATCAGATCTTACTTTACAGGACGAAGCTACGTCATCAAATTCTGAAGCCTCAAATGCTGGAGACTTCTACACTCGGCCAGCTTGTCTCCTTCCACAATATCCTCGTCCTTCTCGTGCAAACCCCTTGCATGTGGTTGATGCCTTCGGCTCTGCTCGCGACCTATGGCAGGTATGCGTTTTTTGGAACAATTTTTTTCTGATTGAAATTTACCTCGATGAATTACCCAGTTGACGTAATAGACTAATTTTCGTGCATTTCTTCATGAATTTCGCCCTCGATCTTTCTCCTTTCAGCATCTCTTTACACCATTTGCTTTCCCGGCAGATGGACGCCACAACTTCTTTCGTGCGTTCAACATGCCTTCTTCTATAGATGAGCAGGATACCACAGTGAGTTGCAGCATTTTCCGGCTGCAGTTTGTGATTTGATCTACCCTAGTCGCTAAGGGTACGAGGCGTCCCTTCTCCTTGAATACCGCGGTTGTTTTGAGCGGACAATGTGTATACTGGTCTTCAATTAAGGAATGTTTCTGTTTATTTATTTACTTATTACATGCCCGCTGGGAGCACGTTAAACCAACATGAAACATCGGAACCAACATAACAAATCAGGAATCATTTCCAGTGTTCAGAAAGAGTAGAAATAGTAGCAATTAAAGGGAAGGGCAGTGCTTCGGAAGGTAGATAAAATTTCGAATAACAAAAAAATGGCGAGAAAAAAATGTGAAAGGAACCAATGTGATTAGATTGTCATTGTTTTTGTCATTACTTATCACCAGTCGGATCACTCGGCTTCGCCGGGCCATCCTCCTTCCACGTGTGAAATGGGCGAAGTGGTCGAAAAAAAGTATTGTTTTGGGAATTACCGCACTTTACCTTTCACTTCTTGTATGTGTTGGTATAGTCCCCACTTTGATCCCTCACTAACTTCATCTGGCAAACCTTTGCTCAGTTTCACCTTACTCCCCATTTCCTAGGGTTTTCCGAATGCGTCAAGGGTTTTTCTTTTCCTTTTCCTCGGCACCGTTCACTTCTTCGAACGCCCCACCCATCACGGTGTGCTTCATTCATTTCGTTCGACAACTGTTTGCCTATCGTTTCCCACATTTTCCGCTCTCCGGGATCTTCCTAGAACCGAACTTACGATTCTTGAAAGTTCTGTAGCGAGCACCGCCCACCTATAGCACGCCCCGCCCATCACGGGTGTGACTCCCTCATTTCGTCCGCCAACTGATTGCCTATCGTTTCCCACATTTTCCGCTCTCCGGGCTCTTCTAGAACCGAATTACGAATTTTTGAAAATGTAGCCCACAACTGTGCGCACGCCCCGCCCACAGTGGGCGGGGCTTAGCTTGGTTCATGTGTGTTCCGTACATCTTGGCCCATGCCCTACCCAACCCACCCTTGACCCGCCCCCTCCAACTGGCTCTTCAGGTGATTCCGAATTTCCGGACAGACAGACAGACAGACAGACAGACGTTGCCGTTTATATATAGTAGGATGTTAGTTGGTTTCTGGTGATAGCGCGTGAATTGTTGGGTAATAGTGTGACCAGAAAGTGTTCGAAAACCAGTCGAAGGTAATAAGCTCCAACTTTGGTCTTCTTGAAACCTGTGCATATGTACACAAGCTTCTATCTTGTTATGCGAATCACGTTTGTTATCGGTCAAAACCTTGTTGGTCAACTGGGCAGATCGTCATCTTCGGGACCTGGCTCGCAGTTCTTATTTGTAACTTGAGCAATCAAGCGACATATCATACTAGGTACAGCGGTCTCAGGAGCCCCAAATAAGGAACCTCTTGATAAAGAAGCCAACCGCGATTTAACCAGCTTTGGAATCCCGCTCAGCGCACTTAACGTCAAGGGAAAAGTGGACCACCACGCCACCTTATGCGTCATACGCGCAATAACACGGGTGATTTCCCAGACCACACAAAGCGATGAAAGGCACCAAATTACTTGTGATGGGCATGGACTTATTTCTGTTCTGCCTCGGTCATTTCGAGCGGATTTGCTTTGCAGCACCTCAAAGTGCTCGAAACGTTGACCATTCAAACGCTTTCACCAATAACAAACCTATTCTTATAACAAAATAGAAACACCAGTCAAAGGATCGGAACATGCAAAAAAGCAAAAAGCAGGTGGCGCTCTATCTAGGAACCATTATCTCGCGTTGTCGCGTTCGCCTGCGCGATCCAAACAAACAATTCTAACTAGGGTAGTGTAAAGTTACTTTAGTTTGATAACCCAACGCCGCAGTGGAGCTCCGAAAGTTATGACTGTTCACGTTTTCGGAGCGCGCGCTGCGGCGTTAACGAGCAGTTATTAAAACAACTTTTGAGCATGTAAAAGCCTTCAGCCTCGCAGTTCACTGTCGATATCGGCTAAACGGCTCATCACCTTAGACGTGTGAGTGCTGGAAGGACAGTGGTCAAAGAGCCACTGAGCTGAGGGGTTAAGAGCGTCCCGGTAGCATAATGGAGAAGCAACCGCCCGATAAGCGGGAGATGAGGGTTCGAGGGCCTGGGGTCTAACTTTTGCTCATAATTATAGAACAGGGTAGTTTTTGATTTGTTCATCGTTAATTCACAAATAATAGTCGAATTGGAGCATTTCTATATTTGCTTTCAGATAGTTCTCTCCAGCGATGACGAAAACGATAGGTCAACTGGCTCCAGACATTCGTAAGAATATTGTGCCCTTTTTTTCGAGCAACTGAGTTTTCCTATTAAAGACACATGGTACGCTCAAACACATTGAGGGTGTATGAGACTATCAGCCCCCCAGCTGTCGATGTGTCGTGGTTTCCCCGCCGAAACTGCACGGGGGTCCGAGTACGGGACCGTGGGAAAGGCTTATTCCTTGCTACACCGCCCAAAATGCAACTTGCGCGCGGTGCATTTTGGGCGGTGTAGCAAGGAATAAGCCTTTCCCACGGTCCCGTACTCGGACCCCGTGCAGTTTCGGGCGGGGAAACCACGACACATCGACAGCTGGGGGGCTGTTAGTCTCATACACCCTCAATGTGTTTGAGCGTACCATGTGTCTTTAAAGGCAAACTGTACATTCACCTCCAATGAACCCTGTTCCCTGCTTCGTGTGGAAGGGTGGGTCGCAAATCTGTAGTAGCGTGCCACTTTCCCGGTCAAAGGTGCACGAAGGCTGGAATATAGTGGTGTGTGATGCCGTCTCCTGATTAGCCCGCGCTACTACATCCAGGGCCTAACCACAGCTGAATGCGCTCCTTGTCTGAACCGTTTTATTCTACCTCTTGATGCTTGTTCACTGGAGTGCCAGCGCCGAGAAGACGGAGCGAGCGGGGAGCCCACATCCTGGTATATTACCCTCCAGCCTCGTTTTCGTGCACCTTTCAGCGGGGAAAGTGGCACCCTACTGCAACTACGGACCTATTTACCTTGCACACAGTAAGCACCGTCCTCGGAGCTGATTGCACGCCTGCCAAAAATACAAAGTCTAAAGCTGGCATATATAGCATCTATCACATTTGTGTGCATTTCAGAAGGCGAACAACTCCCCTGCGCTCAGGTCAAGGGAATTATTCTTCTTCATCACAAGATACCGTCACAACGAACGACATTGCCTGGTTGACACCAGCGGAACACTCAAATCATTCTGAAACACCTCCGCATAGGTCAAATTCGTTACTTTATCGGGATGGTGCTGATCTGACGCCGAGTAGCCACCTACCAAACTCTGTCACTGATGGTAATTCACGAGCTCAGAGCAATCAAAGAAAATCATCAGAAGAAGTACAAATTCTGTCGGATACACCAAATTCATCGAATGGTGTACCACCATCTTCAGCGGCGCCTAGCAAGCCGGTGAGCGTGACATTTCTTCGCTAGTCTTGTTTTTATTCTAAAAAGTTCTTTTGCAGAAGTCCCTGTTTGCTCCTGGGTGTGCCAAGAAGTTGCTGCCTAGTGAACCAGTCACTGTGAAAGGTTCGAGTTTTCATCGCCATCACCAAAATTGCACAGTACAGAGTTGTCTTCACAATAAGAAGTTGAGGCCGAAATTGAACCCTTCTATTTTGAAACCTGCAATCACAGATCAAAGATGAAAGCTTCATTCGGAAAATTATTTCGAAAGCGAAAAGCTTTTTTTCCCCAGATATGTTTTCTTTTATGAACGACGTTTGTGAGAATATATTAACAGTAACTAGAGGAAATGCAGCTGACAGCTGCGATATTGAGCAAAGTTCAAGATCACAAGAGTGCTGAGTTATGGGCGAATATGAGACTCTCGCGGGAATCGAACCCGCATCTGGGGTCTGACTTTTGCCCATAACTCATCACTTTGAGATAACTACGGAAAGCGCACTGCGCGTTCAACAGCAGTTATCAAACAAAACGGCTCACGATAGACTAACATGGTGGGGTCGGGATGCTTTTGAATTTAGGAGATTCCATTGCAGTTCCAGGGGCAAGGATAAGAATGTTGCTGTCTTACCATTGTCTTAACATATTTTTGAATTGCTATCTGTGATTTTGCAAGGCTGCTTCACTGTGACGTGTTCAGCCAACAAGTTTTGTCTGAATTCTTGCTTTTCTGGTCCTATGAACCACGGAGCTAACAGAGTTTTGTGCACTTTTTCGCACCTGATATTCAGGCATCGGATGACTTTGTGTCTAAATTGTGGGCGAGGTGTTCCTGCGAGAGATTCGAAGGCACGTTGATTACCAGGGTAGTATTCCATTCGTGTACAAAGTGAGCAGGTCCGCAGCCATTTTGTACATTCGTTGATGTGTAGTGGTAGAGCCGGAGAATTGTGATTCTTTGATAACCATGCCCTTTTCGACTATGGGGGCCAAGACATGCAGTTACAGTTGCACCTCTGTGACCTCTCACAGGACAATGCTCAGCGAGCTTGATCGAGGCAGAGGGACCTTTGGAGATTCTATAGGTGGACACGAATACGTCACTATCATTAAAAACCTGGCGGGGGCGTTTTTTCGAGGCGACTAGCAACAGAGAGACCGCTTAAAGAAAAGTGTAAGTATTGATCCGGCGAAGTGAGAGAATAGTAGGCTATACTATTTTTCTCCGTTTCGTCAGATCATTCCTACGCTTTGCTTTGCGCGTATTCTTCCACTTTTGTTTTCTTCCGCGTCGCAGTTCATGACTGCAGCCGAAGTTCGTGAATATAAAACAAATCTCATGAGCCTTTGGTTTCCTTGCCTGCCCATTTTGGAGTGGCGAAGGTTTCCCTTTTGCGTTTACAGGCCTACCCACCTTGTACGCGGAAGAAGTGGTGCATTAATCATCCAAATCAGTGGGACAGTGGCTCAAAACTGAAACTGAATGGAAATTCTCCTGCGAATTTCCGAAACTTCTTTTTTTCTCGGCCACGTGCATGTGAACTATGGCATACCGTTCTCTTCTGATTTTAATGTGAAGTTGAAATCTCTTCCTGTATGTGCGTCAACTGAAAATCTGTTAGCAGGCGAAAACAAGCTCCTGGCTGCTCTGTGGCAGGAAAGGCGCAATCGTCTTGCTGCGAATGGGAGAGCCTCGATTGATCCTTCTTTGTCTACAAGTGCTGTTAACGAGGAACAGAAAGATGGGATCACCTCCATGAATCCAGGTACTTTTTGGCTCTTACTGGCGCAATGTTATCTTTACCTCCTAGCAGCCATGTGACTTGTTGATTATCAAAAACGACAGGTCTTGCCGATGAGGAACATGTAAACGGCGTTCCTTGAAATTTCCTCAAGGTCCATGCTCCCGTCTTTCACACCATTCGTTTTGCTTACCATCTTCATAACTTTCGCCAACTTCCTACTATTTTCCGTTTTTAAATCCCATTTATTCCACAAAACCACGGCGGCACTCGTTCAGGAGGTAGGGTACATAATGCACTTGAAAAAGGAAAAAGGATGAAGTCAACCGAAAACCTTTTCCCAAAGTGTCAAATACTCAAGTACACCCCGCCTTGACCGACCAAATAGCGCCTCCTCACTAGGGATCCCCAACGTACGGTGACCTTACGTCACGCGTTTTC